GCACTAGTTGTGCAGCTGTCAAGGGTCCACAAACAAGGAGCAGGGGGGCGATGAAGATCTACAATGTTGGTATGCCTTGGGAGAGAATAGCCTTAGACATCGCTGGACCATTTCCAATCACTGATTCGGGCAATCGCTACGTTTTAGTGGTTATGGATTATTTTACAAAATGGCCGGAGGTCTTTGCTATACCGAATCAAGAGGCAGTAACTGTAGCCACGAAGTTGGTAAACGAGGTATTCACCCGATTCGGAGTGCCCTTGGAGATGCACAGTGATCAAGGACGGAACTTTGAATCCCAAGTTTTCCAGGAAACTTGTAAACTTTTGGGAATCCATAAGACTCGAACGACCCCTTATCATCCACAGTCAGATGGAATGGTCGAACGCTTCAACCAAACATTGGAGCGACACTTAGCAAAGGTGGTTGACAGCCATCAGAGAGATTGGGACACTTACATACCTCTCTTCTTGCTTGCCTATCGGACTGCTGTACATGAAAGTACCGCAAAGACGCCTGCATTTGCAAATTTTGGAAGGGAATTGAGATTACCGGCAGATCTTGTATCGGGCTGTCCACCTGGTGATTCTCGCACCGAGTTTAGCGATTACATAAGCGAGTTAAGGGCAAAAATGTTGGACATTTATGAGCAGATCAGGGAGGCCGGTCTTCAAGCTAGTGATCGCGCAAAGACGCGCTATGATCGACGAGCCAATTCTGTTGGGTTTGAAGAGGGGTCATTGGTCTGGCTTCATAATCCAGTCAGAAGGAAGGGAAAATCTCCAAAGCTGCAACCGAGTTGGGAAGGTCCTTACGAGATAGTCACGAAGATCAATGACATTACTTACAGAATTCGGAAGTCTTCAAGGAGCCCTTTGAAAGTTGTCCATATAGACAGGTTGGCGAGGTATTACGGCAGCAACGATGCTCGGGACGAGCGAATCTAAGAGGGGGGCAGTGTGACAGAAAACTCTTTGACATCATGACGTCAATGGATGGTTGTCAAACGTTGCCTAGAGATTGTAAATTTCGTCGTGAATTGTCAACACGAGTTGGTGTAATCGGTAAGGCGTGTGGATTACACCACAGAGACCCCGAGTTCGAGTCCCGCCGTAAACATGAAGTTTTTTAGTTGATGGAAGTTTTGTCGAACTTTCTGGAATATTTGAGTGAAAGTGATGAAAAATTAAGGAGCGAGAAGGAGAATAAATAAAAATGAATAACGAAATTATTGGAAGGTTCTGGAGGCATGACGATCAAAAAGAATAACGAAATTGAATGTTCTAGAACCTGACCGGGGGTATATAAGCGGAACTGCGGCTCACCGCTGGCAGTTGAGTTCTAAGTCTAAAGCGATTCGGAAGAAAAGGAAGAAGTGAAAAAGAAGAAAAGTGAGTGAAATAGTGAAGTGCAGTGAAATAGTGAAGTGCAGTCAGTTAAGTGAAGTTAGCGTGAACGGCAAAGTTGTGTCAGTCGGCCGGACTCTGCTGGAGAGGAACGCCGATAACTTAACTCCGTGGACGCTGTAACTTAAGCGCAATAGAAAGTCTGAAAACCGGTATTAGTGTTTCATTTCATCCAATCCCGTAACCCAAGCCCGCATAGTCAGGAACGTGACGTCAGGCACGTAACACATGTATTTCCAGTCAACAGGTCCTAGTACTTGTATATTCTCATTTTGGAATTGTTAACTTATGTAGTGTCTGTTTACGACACACGATACTGCTCGGTTTTCATGAAATATTGTACAACAAACTTGTATTCAATTAATGTGACCTTATTACAAAGTACGACTTAAAAGATTTATAAGTGCGTACAAAAAAGGAAATCTAGTTTTATCTAGTAATCATTTACGAATGGTTATGTTACCGTTTGGGGTGGTAATGCAAAGCACGAACTTTCTAGAGCGTGACTTGTAAAAGTTGTAAATCTATAAACACAATCGCTGCAAGCTGAGTGGTAGGTACAGTACACCAATACATTTTGCCAATGAAGAATAAGTGGGGTGCCGATGACCGCTGCTGCCTCTATTTACTTGCAGTGATTCAAATCATATTTACGTTTCTGCCTCACTGACTACACCTACATACCTATTGCAGATTCTAAAATAAATCTCGCCGTAATCGGTGTACAAAAAGCACATGGAAAATATCATAACACCCGAATTGAGAACTTCCTCCTTTTTTGAAGTCAGTCAAAAAGTAACATGCTATACATATTTGTAATAGAAGAAAAACAAACGATATCAAAGCATAAAGTAGTCTGTCTACTCAGTTTAATTGGCTCGTTAAGCTTGGTTGTTATTTCACGCCTATGTGTCAGTTTAGCAATTTCGGATTGCACAAATCTAACTAATTGAACAGACTCGTATGAATGAACAACATTATCAACAAGCGCCTTGCTTCAAAACTCCGAACCATTTCAGATAATAAGTGCTTGTACTATATGAGTCACAGATTGTAAGTAACGAACTCTCTGCTCGCAATTGTTGATTGGTTACTCTGAACACTACTACCATCTATCATCTATTATTTATAGGCAGCAAATGTTTTTATGGTATTCAATTTCTGCGTTAAATTTATATCACTGTTTGAACGGTGCGTTTAGGGGCGTAATAGGTACTCAAGAGTTTGTACAATTTGAAAGACATAACAGTGAAATAATAAAGATGATATAGTGTACAATCGCCTTGAAGGACAGGTGACCACCCGCATAGCTTCCCCCTCTTACCGCCCCAGTATAGACAGCTCAAAACCCACAGAACCTGTCACGAGCCGGCTGTGGTCAGCAATGGGTGGACACGCTTCGCAGTAATCGAAAATTGTTAATGGTTAATTACTGTATGAGCACAATCGCGCCAGTCGCACTCCGGCGCCGCTTGTTATCATTTATTGAGACGTAACCCGTTTCCATCGCATATTGATTCAATGTAATGACTTTATACGGCAACACGGGTGTTCTGTTACGAGGTATTTTTAATGTATTCGCAATTATATGTCGCCACCGAGGCGTTATTTAAAACCTAATGTAAATGATATAAGAATGGCAAAATCGCTTATCAGTTTTTCTTTACAGCAAACAAACATGGGAGATTTCTAGAGCGATAAGTTAATCGCGTTGCTTACCTAATTACGTAAAGTGTCATTGTCAGTAAAATTGTGACTTTTAGTCACTTTTCCAAAGGTTTATCGACAACAGTTCGTATGTACAATGAGATGACGTGTTATAACAAAGTAGGTATATCATGTACTTGAAATATTCAAATGTGTAAGAAAAAGCAAAATGTTACACCTGCGAATACAATTCTAGTGAATTAGAAATGAATATGAAAACTAAGTTTCTATGTAAGAGCGCTTCCTACCAGAATACTTCGTAAGTATACTTATTGGTATTCATGAATATGTTAATTTTGATAGAAAATACTGTTGTGTTATGCCGCTGGCTTAGGACCAGATTATCCAAGAAGACATACAATTTCTTACTGGATTTCTGTATTAGGTACTGATAAAGATTTAAGTATTTGCAAATATCATGTCAATGTCTGTATAATTAAATTAAGACTTCTCCATATTATTACTCTACAAAAATACTTGCCTTTACACGTGTAAATGAATGGTTAATATAAATTTGCAATTATATTGCAAAATAACAATAATCTAGGTATTATTAAGTTAGTTAATTTGCTAGATTACATTAGAGAATACGAAATGCCGAATCATTCAGTCCTCGAGAAGCTGGAATACTTTGAACGAAAATAGAGCAAGGATAATTAGAAAAATTGAAAATCTCACAAATATCAGTTCATCTATTTATGTTATAAATATATAGGCAATTGATTCAAATTCTTCATAAAGATTTTTAGTTACACGACTCGATTAAAAAGTCAAATTGGAAGTTAGGCGACCAGATAAGGTTGAAACTTTGTATGGTCATAAAGTCAGACCGCATTCATAAAATACATATTAATGATCATGTTGATATTACTCTTCAATACCAATAAACAAAACATGTGACTGTGTAGCAGAGGTTTACGACAAATTACGTTAAACCAATCAGTAGAGACTGTACATATTGTATGTTATATACATGACACACGACCTGAAGTGAATTGAAGAAAGGCTATATATTAATAATGGTTAATACTAGGCTGTAAACCTGGATATTGAGAAAGTCCTTAACATAGCCTAAGTATGTACATAATATATTTTATCACACGCAGTCTGCTTCGCAATGTGTGCATATGCACTTACAGTCTTCGCTATCACAGACTCGTGCTGATAGCAAACATTAATCGAATCGACAGCCATTGAGGGGAAAGTCAATTTATGTAACTAAACGTAGCAATAGAACCAATATTGATTATGATGATCGATGAAGATTTGGATGCGAGCGACGTGACGCAATGTACACAAGTGTTTAAAACATACAAGTACCCTTGTACTTACAACATGCGACATCGTTTCTCTATAAAGCGCCGATCATAAAGAACGGCTTCTCATAATTAATCAACAAATGATCAAGGGATTCATTTAGAAAACGTACCTAGCACACGATTTATGAGCACTGTGGGACCAACTTTCTCACGCATTTTGCTGACAAGATTCAGCGCACCTTATTTTATGGCATCTAATCATTTCATCTTAATTCTTAGAAAGCTCTTTTCTACGTATGTATAATGTATGTTTGTAGGTTCATCCATCTAATTGTGGCATCTGCAACCGGCAAAGCTACCTGATGTTTACCTTGAAGTAATTAAACTGGTTTCTTATACTAATAAACTGTAATAAATGAGTAACGAGAAGTTAACAGAAAAAATACAATATTAAGTATGGTATTTTACCAATTCCACATATATTTTGCTGCCAATTAATCAATACGTAATTCAGTACAAAAAGTTGTGTTGAAATCGGCAATTGATATTTTTTAATGGCTACAACGCCCCTTACTAATACAATAAATGAAAAGTCTGAAAAATAAAATGAAAGGCTTCAGTGTGAGGGCGGGCGGGGAGGTGCGCGTACGCACGAGGCGTGCTCGGCGGCGCGGCGCGGGAGCCGGCCGCCAGAGCCGCTGCGGAAGCTGCGGAAAGCACACCTGTTGTGCACGAACCCGCCCGCGACTACGCAAACCTTACGCGAACTGCACGTGTGCTAACTTGCGATTTATATGCGTACTTGTGACATGAGTATCAGTGAGAGTTCAGTGACAGTGTCCACGATAACGCCCTAGAGGACGCATCTGCAATCTGGAGCAACCCTAGGTCGGTAGCGCAATGCTTTATCTTTCTTATCATTTTATCGCATGTTTTGATTGCACACGCAATATCCGCTGTGCGAATATCTTGTTCGTGTTGCTTTTCAACATCATCCTTATTAACTTAATTATTAAATCTACAATTTTTTGGTTGCTTAAGTTTTAATCAAGACATGAGATGAGTGATCATAATAAAATTACATTGAGCACTCTTGATTCATATCGACAACAACAACATCCCTAATTTAAAGTTATAACATTATGCCAATACCACTTTTTTTTTCGATTTCATTTATAGGTATTTTAATTTGTCAACGTGATCCTAAAAATACAGGGAACAAACACGTTTTACTGGACGTTAATTTACTAAACAATATAAATAAAATAAAGCTTAATGCAATACGTTTTGCATATCTTCTCAAATTTTAATACATTGTCAAATGAATGATAATTTAACAAATTGTCAACCTTTAGCTATTGGAAAATTTTATATTACAAACAAGGCAACTAGTTATGTATGCCATCATTATGTTTAAGGGCTAGGCTAGCTAGGAGGTCTCCCAAACACTGGCAAAGTACCATTAAGCGCGTTATCGACAATATCGACATCGGAGACTGGTTCCGACGAGCGCTACGCGCTGCTATGCCGTTTGCGAACATCGCGATCATCACATTTCGTCCATTTAATATATTATTGCAATTTCAAACATCGACCTACAGAGACGAGCCTAAAAAATGAGCGTGTACTTCATCAATTATATTAAAAATAAAACTCCTTTTACATAAAACCTTAAAGGAAAGCCTGACGCAATTAAAATGTCTTCACGCTTTTACATCGTTAGGATTGATCACGTAAATAGCTGAGCTTATTAAGTGACATTAGCATTTAAAGGAGCAGGAGCCATTATATAGTGGTTTATACCCTAGTGAGGCAATGTGAACGAACTGCTGGGAGGAACGGTAGCATAAATCAAGGCATTACCGCCTCGACATTGGTTAACTAGCTTGGCGCTGTAAGTACTGGGATATCATAATCGTTCGCCAGACATAACTAACGTTAATTACCAGGAGCCGTCGCCGCTGGCTCCTGAAGGCTACTGCCTCGAGCCTCGGAGCTACGATTGCATAATGAGAAGACCGATCAAGTGAAGGGCATTATAAGAGTAAACATTCATTACTGCACCGATGATTTCATATTCATACCGGTCAAGGAAACGATAAAGGAAAACCGCATGCCCCATATTGAACGTTATTTTTACGCTAATTAAATTTAATTTTGCTAAAACTTATCTTTTAGGTACGTAAATGATTTCTCTAACATAATTAGTTCGTTAATGTTTGAAATATATTTATAGATTCATATGCAGTGGTAAATTTAAATGTCAGGCGAACGGAATCGCACTTTGATTTAGAGATGCGACAAATGTCATTGGATTTACTGCAAGAACAAAAAGGGTTTCGCCTTAACCTTTACAGCTGCATTAATTCTTATTGAATAACGGATAAATGTCGAAACAATATGTACGTACCTGCAGGCAATTAATGAATGGAATCATTAAGGGCTTGCCGTGAGCTTCGGGTTCGGTAAGCTCTTCCGAGGGATTGTGCGCGGGTGAAGCTCATCTGTTCATTATTTTGTTCAACTGAATCACTGGTTACTATTTAGAACTACTCGATCATATAACCGCATCTACAATACAGCTTAATCTATCTTAATATTCCCATTGAGTATCGGTTTATAATAACATTACACATTATGCATACATTTAAGAAAATCTCTCTCTCTCTCTCTTTCTCATCAAACCGACAAACTCAATTAGTACATTAAATAAATTATGTTTGTACATAACCTTAAATTCAGAATGCGGAATTCTTAATTGACTCCTTCAAACCATAGCGGGACCGTATGTAGCCACCGTCACAAAAATGGGAATATCATTTTTGGTTTGTGTAAGCACACTTAATATGATACCGAAAATAATTAAGGGCTATAAATTATTATGTTCATACCCTAAATATGTTTGTCAGGACTCGAGAATGCAATGGACTTTCTCTTGTAAAATGCAATACGTTGTAAAATTTATTAAAGTGAGTGTCTATATCAAGCTTAAATATTCGTAATCTAACCTAACCAATTTATGAACTACTAAAAACACCAAACATCAATATATTTTTTTAGACAATTTGTAACATTTTCCTTACAACATTTTACTTAGATATCAATTTCGGTTTTTGCACTTGTTCTCAGATATTAATATACCGGACCGAAATATGTAAAATTTTAACACACGAAAAGGGACAGGATTAACGGAAAAAAACCGAAATATAATTTCATCATCAGTCAAAAGACTCATAGCACAAAAACTGGTAAATAAATTCCAATTACAGAATTATCACGGTAATCGTCAGGTATTTATATTTGTGTTAACAATCTAAAGCGAATGATCGACATTATTGAGCAGTAGCTATCGGGCTTATAATAATTGTTAGCGCAAGCATGTCGTTTGGCTCAACACTCCATTATTTACACGATAGCTGTTATTATGAATACATAACCTATCCTAAGCTGTTCGTTAGTACGCACTACGCCGATAGGAGCTATTATTGTTAATGAATGCAGTAGACCGCGCTCTTAGGGTGTACAATTAAATCGGGCGGTATGCATATCAACGTAAGTAAACATGACACGAGTCGACAGTGCTCCCGGCTTCCCAATACCACTAGCACCTTGTATTTGTTCTACACAAATAAACCTCCCGGCACGTCTCCGACAAGTGCGGGACACATAACCACACAAACAAGGACAAACGCCTTCTGACTTACACTTTTTAACATAAAAAAATATGTCAATGAGACCTAAATATTTAAAATCAATCGGAATGTGAAACGGTGTTTTAAAAGATACTGATCGAAATCACTGTGCAACCGTTATTCGACAAATTTTAGTTTAAAATAAAACGTTTTAGTTCGAAAACTGGAAATGTTATGCATAAATAGTAAATGATGACATGATTGTTATAAGTTTGGTTTTGCAGCCTATATCTATGTGAAGACGAAACTTTGTTTTCTTAACCTCCATCCACACTTCCCGCGTGTATCAGTTGCGAGACGAGAGAGAAAGTACCAACGTACATTTCGTAACTCCTGCTTTTGAAACAAGTAAGAAAATCGAAAACTAAGTGTTGTTTTGTTAAACTACAGCATAAATATCCATAAAAGATATCAATACAGCCATCAATAAAAGCTAACGCAATTTAGGCGCGATACATAACGAGATTATATTACGTGAGTGCATGTGTTATTGTTACATAAGATTTGATAGCTGATAGCAAACATATTACTGTGAATGGGTATCATATGAGAATTTTACAATATTGAGTATAATGACTATAACCAAAGTAATAAAAGAAAATGTGTTTATAACGTAACGCCTACGAATTTTTACTTGTTATACCTGAATCGATTTTATCGTCAAGATCAATACCAGTCGAGTAGAGGTGAAGTCCCGTCGCACGAGATACTGTCAACATATATTTGCATTTGGTACTCTAAATGTCACCGCGAGATAATTCCGCCTCCTAATATGTATTCAAAGCGGATCATCACCTTGCTAATGTTGCAATTAAGATAGTATCACGACCAAGCCGGTTTGCAAACGCACGCCTTTGAGCCAAGCGCTACACATTATCGATTTTTGAATCGGACTCATTAATTTTACACTAGTTATGCATATATTAAATGGTATATTTAGAATTTTAATTAAGAATTTTAAATAAATTATTAAAACGCCATATTTTTAAGGTATACAAAAGCGAGGACATTTTTATTCGATGTTTATTATTAATTAACTAAAACTTTTTTGCCCAAGTACTGCCAGGAATGATAAAACATAATTTATTAAACTTCTTTGTTAAACTGATGTTTGATCAGTTTCATATGTCGTGGTATCAAATAAGAAATTTAATGTTCATGTTACTCACAAAATTATGTTGAAGTTGTGTCAGTATAAACACCGCATTCCAAAACCATTCATCATAAAAGTATAGTGTCAGGAGCACTTACATTCAGGTCGCATTATCAGTTTTTTGTTTTTTCAAAAGTTTTATGGAGCATTGTCACAAGATGTCACCACGACAAAGCATTACTGTAAAGACATTGAACCTAGTTGAGTAGCGACCTCCTTGACATCGCTTACACGTACTCCAACTTAACTATGATTCAACATATTTCTAAACAATCCTTTTTGTCTTTGCAATAGCAACATCAAACAAATACGAATTTTAATAACATAATTTACCCAATTCTTAGAAATAGAAAAGGTTTTGGAATGTTCAATCGGCACAGGTGTTAAGGTACTTCGCTTATGTTATCTTAATATACCGCGATGATTAAGCAAGGAAAGGCTTCTCTAAAATAAACTTTATCGATTCTGTGGACCTGTTTAACTAGATTGTACAAGATTAGAGATCAATAGTTGTGGTTAAAGTGAGGGCCCTATTAAGCAATACGTATTGTCTTATACAGTTGTTGTGTCTGATTGGAATCAGTTCTAGGAGCGGCACGCGCGCGCCCCATGTGCCACTCGACAACTGGCTGGCACGGCGTGGCTGCAGCCTGGCCACAGCGGCTTAAATATGCAGTCCCGGTGTTGCACAATACATTTATTTGTAAGCGGCTCCCCTGACATTTAGCGGCATTAAAACATTTGATAACAAGATAAAATGTGTCTACGCTTGCTTTAGTTAAAATAATTTCTTTCGAGTTCTATTTGAATAGTGTGATAAAACATGGAAACACAAACACAACAATGTTTACTAGTTAAAGTTACTGTTTTGTAGTCAAGAAGAATTTATAAATGGATTTAAGAATGATTACAACAACTGAATCGTAAATAAATGATGGTAAATAACATATTATAACTTCCTCGCTACTACACATCAGGCAAGCCCTTTTCATTATAATGCCATGATAGTATTAATAAGATTTAATTTTAGAACAATCCAATTT